CCACCCAAACTGGGGCCAAACTGGGACAGGGGCCCCTCCCCCACCTCCTAAAGGAGCCCCAAACCCTCTCCCGAGGGGGGAAACTGAGGCAGGGATCCCCCAACCCCCTCCCCCCCAGTTCCCAACTGGGAGAACTGGGACGCAGATCCCTCCCCCGCCTCGTGGTGGTTCCCTAAACCCCCTCCCGAGGGGGGAAACTGAGGCAGGGACCCCCCAACCCCCTGGAGATGGTCCCCAACCTCCTCCTGAGTGGAAACTGAGGCAGGGACCCTCGACCCCTTGAGATGTCCCCTATCCCCTCCTGAGTGGGGAAACTGAGGCAGGGACCCCCCAAGCCCCTGTCCCTCGGTTCCCACGGGCACGGCCCCCCTAAGACCCTTCCCCCTCTTTCCCACCTGTGCAAACTGAGACAGGGACCCCTCCCTCGTCCCCTTCCCACGACGCCCCCCAAACCCCCTTCCCGAGTGGAGGGAAACCCTGAGGCAGGACCCGAACCCCTCCCACCCTCAAACCCCCTTCCCACCCCCTCGCCTTACCCGCCCCCAACCCCATCCTGGGAGGAGACTGAGGAGACCCCTCGACCCCCTATGGAGATCGCCCTCCAAGCCTCCCTCCCGAGGGGGGAAACTGAGGCAGGGACCCCTCCTCGTCCCTTCCCACGCCCCCCACAACCCCCTCCCTCCCCCCCTCCTCCCGCATCCCCAAAAGCCGCAGCACCCCCAACTCCCGCAGCCTCTCCCGCGCCTCCCCCTCCCACCCGCGGTTGGCGCGGGGGTTCCGCGGCGAGGGGTGCGGGATCCCCGCACCGCCACCCCCACCAGCCCGGCCCCTGCCAGCGCCCGGCGTGCCCTCAGCTCGGCCACTCGCCCCAGGGCCACCACGAGGCGCACCCGCAGCTCCCGCACCACCCCCGCCAGCGCCGCCCCGCACGCCGCCAGCAGCCGCTCCCGCTGCGGGGCCCGCAGCTCCGGGGGGGCCACGTTGCGGCCGCTGGCGGCGAGGAAGAGGAGGGGGCACAGGTTGTGCACGAAGCAGCGGCGGAAGAAGCGGCGGGGGTCGGGGCAGAGCCCCCGGATGAGCCCCCAGAAGCGGGCGCCGCTCACCTCGGCCCGCGGGCAGCGCAGCCCCAGCACGGGCCGCGCGGGGTGCTCCGCCAGGGGCTTGCGGACCTCGCCACGCACCCCCAGCCACTCGCGGACGTGCCACGCCTCGCCGAAAGGCACCTGAGGGGGTTTAGGGAGACGGGGGGATTGAGGGAGGGAGGGGGGACCCCCCCCCCGAGCAAGCCCTGCGGGTGTGGGATGGATTGGGACACCCTCAAAGCCCTTCCATCAGCTCCCCTCATTTGGGGCACCCATGGGGTGGATTGGGACACCCTGAGCCCCCATGGGGTGGATTGGGACCCTCTGAGCCCCCATGGGGTGAACTGGGACCCCCTGAGGCCCCACAGGGGTGGACTGGGACCCCCTGAGGCCCCACGGGATGAATTAGGACCCCTGAGACCCCATGGGGTGGATTGGGACCCCCTGGGCACCCTCCAACCCACCTCATTTCCCTCCTCTGAGCTCCCACGGGGTGAATTAGGGACCCTCTGAGCCCCCATGGGGTGAACTGGGACCCCCTGAGGCCCCACAGGGTGGATTGGGACTCCTGAGCCTCTGAGACCCCATGGGGTGGATTGGGACCCCCTGGGCACCCTCCAACCCACCTCATTTCCCTCCTCTGAGCCCCCATAGGATGGATTGGGACCCCCTGAGCCCCCATGGGGTGGATTGGGACCCCCTGAGCATCCCCAAAGCCCTCCATCAGCTCCCCTCATTTGGGGCACCCATGGGGTGGATTGGGACCCCTGAGCCCCCATGGGATGGATTGGGACCCCCCTGAGCCCCATGGGAAGGACTGGGATCCCTTGGACACCCCCAAAGACCCCCCCCCCCGTGCCTCAGTTTCCCTCCTTTGAGACCCCCTGGGATGATCTGGGACCCCCCCGATCCCCCATGGGATGGATTCGGACCCCCTGAGCCCCCATGGGGTGAACTGGGACCCCCTGAGCCCCCACGGGGTGGATTGGGACCCCCTGAGCCCCCATGGGAAGGACTGGGATCCCTTGGACACCCCCAAAGACCCCCCCCGTGCCTCAGTTTCCCTCCTTTGAGACCCCCTGGGATGATCTGGGACCCCCCCGGGCACCCATGGGATGGACTGGGACACCCCCCCAATCCCCTCGGGCACCCCCAAACCCCTCCAGCGCCTCATTTTCCCCCTCTGAGACCCCTCCCCACCCTCCTCGCCCCACCCACCCCGGTCTGGGCCATCCCGAAGGGCCCCGGGTTCATCCCCAGGAACAGGACGGGTTTTGGGGAGCGCAGGAAGCGCCGCACGAAGTCGCTGTGGGGGTCCCAGGCGTAGTCCAGGGGGTCGTACACGTGGGTCACGGGGGGGCCGGGCGGGGAAAGAGCCCGCAGCTCCTCGCTCAGCTCCCGCTCCAGCGCCAGGAAGCGCCCGGCCAGGCCTTCATCATCGTCATCATCATCATCATCGTCATCGGCATCATCCTCATCCTCCTCCTGCCGCCGCTCCGGGTCCCCCCCCACGGGCACCGGGTCCGGCCCCGCCCCTGCCATCAGACATCGCCTGGGGGGGACACGGGGACAGCGTGACACGGGGGGGGCAGCCGAGGGGACAGTGTGACACGGGGGGCGTGGGGGGACACCAAGGGGACACCAAGGGACGGGAGGGACAGCGTGACACGGGGGGACACCAAAGGGACAGCGTGACACGGGGGGGCGTCAAAGGGCAGGGAGGGGACAGGGAGGGACAGCGTGACACGGGGGCGGGGGGACACGAGGGGGACAGCGTGACACGGGGGGACACCAAGGGACAGTGTGACACGGGGGGCACCAAGGGGACAGGGAGGGGACAGGGAGGGACAGTGTGACACGGGGGGGCGTGGGGGGGACACGGGGAGGGACAGCGTGACACGGGGGGGACACAAAGGGGACAGGGAAGAGATGGGGACAGACCGGGAAGGACCCGGGGGGGACAAGGTGGGGACAGAGGGGTCGAGGACAGGGAGGGGACAGGGAGGGACAGCGTGACACGGGGACACAGTGGGGACAAGGAGGGGACAGGGGAGGGACAAAGGGGTGTGAGGGGACAGCAGAGGGACAGAGCGGGACAAGGTGGACCTGGGGGAGTCACAGGGTAGGCTGGGGGTGACAGGAAGGCACCAGAGCCCCCCCCTCAGGTGTCCCTTGACCCCCGCCCAGCTCTCCCAGGGACCCCCCGACTGCCCCTGCCCTGCCCGGTCCCGATCCCGGCCCGCCCCGCCACGCGTGGCCTTTCAAAGCCCCCTCGACCCTTCCCACCCCCTCTTTTCCTCCCGCAGCCCCCACCAAATCCCCTTTGACGTCACGAGGAGGGAGTCGCGTGACGTCACCGCGGCCGCCCCGGTGCCCACCTGAGCGCGCGCTGCCCCGCAGGTATCGCCGGGCCACGCCCATCGACCCCTCAAGCCACGCCCCGTCACCCTTCAAACCACGCCCACAATCGCTCGCCTTCATTCACAAATCTCTTACTGACCCCGCCCCCCGCCCCTTCCCGGCGTGCCCCGCGTGGGGAAGGGGGAGGGGCCCGGCCCTTTGTCCCCCACGCGAGGATTTCCCGCCGTGCTTTGCGGCGGGAAAACATTCCCCCCTTCCCCTTTCCCCCCCCCAGCCCCTCACAGGGACCCCCCAAACCCACCCAGGGACGCGAACACGCGGGGAGGGGGCGTGATGGCAAGGGGCGTGGCTCCTCAGACCACGCCCCCGGCCCGGCGGGGCCTGAGCAGGGCGAGGGCGCCCCTGGCGGCTCCGGGAGGGTCCTGACTCCCCCTCTCCCGTGTCCCCAAATTCACCCCCATTGTCGCCAAATCCTCCCCCTCAGTGTCACTGGAGTGTCCCCAACCCCCAGTGTCAAGTACCCCAGTGTCACCAATACCTCCCCAGTGTCACCAGCACCCCCCAGTGTCACCACACCCCCAGTGTCACCAACTCTCTCCAGTGTCACCAAACACTCCCCCCCCGTGTCCCTGGAGTGTCCCCAGATTACCACCCCCTGTGTCACTGGATTGTCCCCAAACCCCCACCGTGTCACCAAACCCCCCTCAGTGTCACCCCCTCCCCTCGATGTCACTGCAGTGTCCCCAAACCCCCGCGGTGTCACCAAAATCCCCCCCAGTGTCACCAAACACCCCCACCCCGTGTCATGGAGTGTCCCCAATTACCCTTTGTGACCCCCCCGTGTCCCCTTTGTGTCCCCCAGTGTCCCCTTTGTGACCCCCTCGTGTCCCCCCCTTTGTGTCCTCTCTGTCCCCCCATCCCTGCAGTGCCACGTCACGACCACCAGGTGGCCCCCGAGGGACCCCCAAAAGGACCCCCTCCCATCCCTGACCTCGTACTGGGCGTGAACTGGGCCAGACTGGGGACACTGGGGGTCAGTGGGAGTTACAGAGGGATTAGGGGGGGATTTGGGGACATCCTGGGGACACTGGGGGGGTCCCTGTTTGCCCCCCCCTCCCCAAAAGCAGCAGCTCCTGAAAAGTGACCGTTTATTGGAAGTAAATCCTAGGGGGGAGTGGAAAAAACGGGGTGGGGGTGGGGGAAAGGGGACATGGGGTGGGGGGACATTTTGGGAGTGGGGGGACAACACAGGGACACCCCGGGGGCCAGGGAGGAGGGGACAACACGGGGACACCCAGGGCAGGGGTGACCCTGGCTAAAAACACTGACTTTAGAAAAAACACCAAAACTCAGGAAAATCCCCAAAACCCACCTCGGGGGAGGGTGGGGTGACAAGGCTGGGACCCCCCCCCTTTTAGAGGAGAGGAGAGACCCCCTGGTTTTTGGGGGGTGGTGGTGGTAGCACCTCCCTGTCCCCAAGGAGGAGGGAGGGGAGTGGGGGACACACACAAAGTGGCCCTTGGGGACACGGGAGGGACATTTTTGGGGGAGGTGGGAGGGTGGGGTTTGGGGGGCTATGTACAGTGTTGGGGGGTTTAGCTGCGGGGGTCCCTCTCCTTGCCCTCGGGCTCCTCGGGGTAGGCGTGCCACGTCAGCCGCTCCTCGTAGAAGGCGATGACGATTTGGGGACACTTGAGATTGGCCTCCTTGGCCAGCACCAGGTCGGCCTCGTCCGTGTCCTTCCTGGGGGAAATGAGGGGGCACAGGATTAAAGGGGACACAGAGATAAAGGGGGACACAGAGATAAAGGGGGCACAGGGGTTAAGAAGGAGAATGAAGATAAAAGGGGGGGCACAGAATTAAAGGGGGGCACGGAATTAAAGGGGGCAGAGAGGTAAAGGGGGGGTACAAAGGTAAAGAGAGGAGTAAAGATAAAGGGGGGCACAGAATTAAAGGGGGCACAGAGGTAAAGAAGGGGAGGGAGATAAAGGGGGGCACAGAGATAGAGGGGGTGTGGAGATAAAAGGGAGCACAGAAATAAAGGGGGGCACAGAATTAAGGGGGGGGACAGAGGTAAAGGGGGGCACACAGATAAAGAAGAGGGATGGAGATAAAAGGGGGGGGCATGGAATTAAAAGGGGGGACAGAGGATAAAGGGAGGCACAGAGATAGAGAGGGGTTAAGACAAAGGGGGACACAGATAAGGGGGCACAGAGGTAAAGGGGGCACAGAATTAAAGGGGGGCACACAAAGATAAAGGGGTGCATGGGCACAAAGAGAGAGGACACCAACAGGGGGACACACAGACACAAACAGGGGGTTCTGGGGGGTCACAGACACAAACAGGGGGCTCTGGGGATCACAGACACAAACAGGGGGCTCTGGGGGTCACAGACACAAACAGGGGGCTCTGGGGGCACCCAGGGGTGGGGGGTCACCAGGGGGGCCTCACCACTTCATGAGGAACATGAGGTCCCCGCAGGAGTCGGTGGCCCCGATGATCTTCTCGGGCTCCAGGCCCCGCTCGAAGCCGCGGGCGATGTCGTTGCTCTGGGGGTTGGGGGGGAAAGGGTTGGGGTTTTTTTTGTGGAGGGGAGGGAAAAGGGGGTTTTTGGGGGGCATGAGGGGGAAGGGAGAGGGGCACAGCCCTGGGTTGTACCCACTCCTGGGCGACTGTCCCCATCCCTGGGTGTCCATCTCCGGGATGGACAGGATGGTGTCCTCCTCCCTAAGTCCTCATCCCCTCCCCGGGTTCCCAAGTCCCTGTCCCCATCCCTGTCCTGTCCCTGTTCCCCTCCCCATTCCTGGGTCCATCCTTGCCACAGGTCCCTGTCCCTTGTATCTGCATCCCCATCCCATATCCCCATCCCCATGTCCCCATTCCATCCCTGTATCCCCATCCCCGTGTCCCCATCCCATCCCATCTCCCCATCCCTGTGTCCCCATCCCATTCCTGTATTCCCATCCCATATCCCCATTCCCATATCCTCATCCCACCCCTGTATCCCCATCCCCGTGTCCCCATCCCATCCCTTTATCCCCATCCCATCCCCGTATCCCCATCCCCATGTCCCCATCCCATCCCTGTGTCCCCATCCCATCCCATCCCATATCCCCATCCCCGTGTCCCCATCCCATTCCTGTATTCCCATCCCTGTATTCCCATCCCATCCCATCTCCCCATCCCCATGTCCCCATTGCATCCCATATCCCCATCCCATCCCTTTATCCCCATTCCCATGTCCCCAACCCATCCCATATCCCCATCCCATCCCATCCCATCCCATCCCATCCCATCCCATCCCATCTCCCCATCCCCATGTCCCCTCCTCACCTCCCTCTTTTTCTTGGCCCTGCCGTCGTCGCTGCCGTTGCCGTTCCCGGGCAGCCCCTTCCTCTTGGCGCCCTCGGGGCGCTCCCGGGGCCGTGTCCCGCTGTCCCCGTCCCTCATCCTGCGGTCCTTGCGCAGGAACTGCGAGATCAGCTCGGGGCAGTCCAGGTTCTTCTCGGGCTCCCACGTGTTGTGTTCCCTGCCAGGGGGACAGGGGGGCACTCAGGGGGCACCCAAGTGTCCCTGTGTCCCCCACCTGGGGTCCCCTGGCACACACTGGGGTCCCTGTGTCCCCTGGCACAGGGTGGGGTCACTCAAGGGTCACTTTGGGGGCACCAAGTGTCCCTGTGTCCCCAACCCAGGGTCCCCTGGCACAGGGCAGGGTCACCTCAGTGTCCCCCCACCCAGGAGTTTTGTCCCCTGGCACAGGGCAGGGTCACTCAAGGGTCACTTTGGGGGCACCTGTGTCCCTAACCCAGGGTCCCCTGGCACAGGGCAGAGTCACCTCAGTGTCCCCATGTCCCCTGGCACAGGGCAGGGTCACCGTGGTGTCCCCATGTCCCCCGCCAGGGTCACCTCAGTGTCCCCCCACCCAGGAGTTGTGTCCCCTGGCACAGGGCAGGGTCACTCAAGGGTCACTTCGGGGGCACCAAGTGTCCCTGTGTCCCCAACCCAGGGTCCCCTGGCACAGAGCAGGGTCACCTTAGTGTCCCTCACCCCGTATCCCCTGGCCCACACTGGGGTCCCTGTGTCCCCCACTTGGGGTCCCCTGGCACAGAGCAGGGTCACCTCAGTGTCCCCATGTCCCCTGGCACAGACCGGGGTCACCTCAGTGTCCCCACCCAGGAGTTGTCCTGGCAGGTGTAGTCCCTCAAGAGAGGTCACCTCAGGGCCCCAGGTGTCCCTGTTCCTCCCCAGGTCCCAGCACGGCAGGGTCACCCTAGTGTCCCTCACTCCGACTGGCCCTGGTCCACTGGAGTCCCCTGGCACAGAGCAGGGTCACCTCAGTGTCCCCATGTCCCCTGGCACAGAGCAGGGTCACCTCAGTGTCCCCATGTCCCCTGGCACAGAGCAGGGTCACCAAGGGGTCCCTGTGTCCCTCACCCCGTATCCCCTGGCCCACACCGGGGTCCCTGTGTGCCCCCACCCCATATCCCCTGGCACACACTGAGGTCACCGTGGTGTCCCCATGTCCCCAGGTGTGTCCCCCACACCCCCTGGTGTCCCCAGGTGTGCCCCCAGGTGTGACTCACTCGGAGAAGCCCTTCCACTTGAGCAGGTACTCGGCCTGGCCCCTCACCACGCGCCGATCCAGCACCTTCTCCACCACATATTCCTCCTCGTCTGCCGAGGACGAGCTGTCGGCTGCCCGCCGGCTCCTCCTGCCCATAGCGCAGCGCCCGCGGCTCCTGCGGGCACGGGGGGCGTCAGGGACCCCGAAAACGGGGATTGGGACCCCGAAAACGGGAATGGGACCCCGAAAATGGGATCTGGGACCCCAAAAATGGGGAATGGGACCCCAGAAATGGGATCTGGCACCCTAAACAGGGCTCCTGCGGGCACGGGGGGCGTCAGGGACCCTGAAAACAGGGATTGGGACCCCGAAAATGGGGATTGGGACCCCAAAAACAGGGATTGGGACCCTAAATGGGCATCTGGCACTCCAAAAACAGGGACTGGGACCCCAAAAACAGGGATTGGGACCCTAAATGGGCATCTGGGACCCCAAAAACAGGGACTGGGACCTCAAATGGGTACCTGGGACCCTAAATGGTCCATCTGGGACCCCAAATGGGCATCTGGGATCCCAAAAGGAGGGACTGAGACCCCAAAAACAGGGATTGGGACCCTGAAAACGGGGATTGGGACCCCAAAAACAGGGGCTGGGACCCCGAAAATGGGGACTGGGACCCTAAATGGGCATCTGGGACACCAAATGGTCAATCTGGGACCCCAAATGGGGCATGTGAGACCCCAAGAGGGACTGGGACCCTAAATGGGGATCTGGGACCCCAAAAGGAGGGACTGGGACCCCAAAGGGGCATCTGGGACCCCAAAAACGGGGACTGGCACCCTAAATGGGCATCTGGCACCCCAAAAATGGGGACTGGGACCTCAAATGGGTACCTGGGACCCTAAACGGGGCTCCTGCAGGCACAGGGGGCACCTGGGACGCCAAAAGGGGGGACTGGGACCCTAAATGGGCACTGGGACACCAAATGGTTAATCTGGGACCCCAAATGGGCATCTGGAACCCCAAAAGGAGGGACTGAGACCCCAAAAACAGGGGCATCTGGGACCCCAAAAACGGGGACTGGCACCCTAAATGGGCATCTGGGACCTCAAAAGGAGGGACTGGGACCCTAAATGGAGCTCCTGCAGGCACAGGGGGCACTGGGGGTCCCAAACCAGGGACTGGGACCCTAAATGGGGACTGGGACCCTAAATGGGCACTGGGACCCTAAATGGGCACCTGGGACCCCAAATGGGCACCTGGGACCCCAAAAGGGAGTGGAGACCACAAGAGCAGATTTTGGGTGGAAAAGGGGTGGGTTTGGAGGTCAAAAGGCCCATTTTGGGCACGAAAATACAGATTTTGGGCATAAAAGGACGGGTTTTGAAGGCAAAAAGACACATTTTGGGGGGGAAGGCGAAGGTGAAAGAGGGCGGATTTTGGGTGTAAAAAGGTGCAGTTTTGGGTGTAAAAAGGCAGGTTTTGGGCATGAAAAGACGGGTTTTGTGCATAAGAAGCAGATTTTGGGTGCAAAAAGGCGAATTTTGGGTGCAAAAGGAGTTTAGGGTGTTAAAAGGCAGATTTTGGGTGTAAAAGGCGGATTTTGGGTGTGAAAAGGCGGATTTTAGGGTGTAAAAGGCGGATTTTGGGTGTAAAAAGGTGGATTTTGGGTGTGAAAAGGCGGATTTTTGGGTGTACAAGGGCGGGGTTTGGGCGGGAAGGGCCCCGGGCGCCTCATCCCGGATCCCGCGCCCGGGAATCCTGAGGGAACAAAGGGAAGGAGCCGCTCGGAGCCCAAAAGCGCCGCTTGGAGGCCAAAAAAACGGGAGGCAAAAAAAAAAAAAAAAAGAAAGGCGGGTTTGGGGTGAAAAAAGAGGCAGCTTTGAGGCAAAAATCCCGCCAGTCTGAGGGGAAAAATCGCTGTTTTGAGGCAAACCACTTCTGATCTGAGGCGAAAAGATCAGTGCTGAGGCAAGACGCATCGGTTTGAGGCGAAAAACCGCCGGTTTGGGGTAGAAACCGGGTGTTCTGAGGGGAAAAATCAGTTTTGTGGTAAAACCAGCCGGTCTGAGGGGAAAAAAATGCCGGTTTGGGGCAGAACCAGACGGTTTGGGGTAGAGAAGCGCTGTTTTAAGAGGAAAAGCCGCTTTTATGAGGGAAACCCCCTCTATTTTGGGGCAAAAAGCGGCGATTTAAGGGATATAAAAGTGGGGGGGCGAGAAGGGGGGGCTGAGGGAGGGGGCGGGGCCTTGAGCGCGCCCCCGCACGCCATTGGCCAGCGCTGCCGCGCGCCCTCGCGCTGATTGGTCGAGCCCGCCGCCGCTCGCCACCGCCCCGCCTCGTCGCTATTGGTTCGCGTAGCTGTCATTCATCGCGCCGCCTCGCCCATGGTGCGCCGCTATTGGTGGGAGACGCTGTCAATCAACCTACAGCCCTGCCCTCTCCCAGCCGCTATTGGCTGATACAACCGCCACTCCGCGAGGCCCCGCGCCGCTATTGGTCGACCCGCCTGTCCCTCAGCGCGCCAAGACCCGCCCCCCCCCGCGCTGCCGCCCATTCACCCACCGCCGCCGCCGCCGGTACCTGCGCGGGGAGCGGCTCCGGCGCGGGCCCGTCCGCCGCGGTCTGGCCGCCCCTCTGCGCGGAGCCGCCGCCGCTCTCCGCGCTCCGCCCGCCAAAAACCGCCCGCAGCGCGCAGGCGCCGCCGGGCCGCTCTCCGGCGCATGCGTACCCCCATTATTCCCCCCCCTCCCCACACACACACACACTGCCCACCCCGAGGCGTGCGGTGACCCAGGCGCACCTTGTGTGGCGGCGGGCGGGCGGCCCCTCCTCGCCGCCGCCGCCGGGGGGGACTCGCGGCCGCCGCCGCCGCCGCCGCTGCTGCTCCCGCCGCGCTCGGGGAGCCGCGCTGGGCCCGCGCTGATGGACAGCCTTCTCCTCCAATCAGCGCCGCGCCGCCTCGCCTTCACCCAATCAGCGCCGCGCGCGGGCGGGCCCTCCACCGCGCCAACCAATCAGCACACTCTCAGCGGAGTCTCCGGGCCGGAGCGGGAAAACCAGCGGTGGGCGTGCCCGCCAACACCTCACCCAATCAACGCGCGGCGCGGGCGGGACTTAAACCCGCTTTGACCAACCGGCTCTCTGGGCGCTTCTCCCCGACCAATCAGAGCGCGGCGGAGCGCGGCGCCGGCCAATGGGAGCGGGCGCGGTGGGCGGGGCGCGCGGCGGGGGCGGCCGAGTGAGGCGGCGGCGCTGCCCCCGCTCGGCCCCTTTGCCGAGTCGGCCCTCGCCGAGGGAGCATCGCGCGAGCGCCGCCGCCGCCGCCGCCGCCGCCTCCTTTTCCCCTCCCTTTCCCTTCCTTTTCCTCCCCGCCCACCCCGCCCGCCGCCGCCGCCGCCATGGCCAAGGCCGAGGTCAGTCCTTCAGCGCTTTTGCTTTGTGTTGTTCGCCTTTTCTTCGCGGCTGGATTATTTTTTTTTTTTTTGGAGGGGGTTGGATTTTTTTTCCCTCGCCTTCCTCTTTTCTCTCTCCCCTCCTTTCCTCGCCCTTTTTAGCCCCCTCCGCCCTCTTTTTTGCTCTCCCCCTCCCCCTCCTTCCCCCTCAGGGGCGGCCGCGCAGGCCTCGCGCCGCGCTGAGCGCGCATGCGCCGGCGCGCAGAGCGGCCTCACTGCGCAGGCGCCGTCGCGTGTGGGGAGGGCGGGAGGGCTTTGAGGGAGGGGGAAGAATGAGGAAAAATTTGGGGGATGGGGAGAGACCCCCTCAAAAATGCGCGGGGAGACCCCTCCCCTTAAAATATGGAGGACCCCCTCCCCCACCTCGTCCTCTCTCCCCGGCCACGTGCGCGTTCTCTTTGTGTCCGAGCGGGAGAGGGAGGGGGTGGTTGAGGGAGTAAAATTGAGGTTAAAGTGGGTGGGGGGCTCTGAAATAGAGGGTTGGGGGTGGTCGGCGTTAAAGTAGCGGCTCGGGGCGGGTTGAGGGGTGGGGGCCCTGAAATAGGGTCTGGGGCGCTTGAAGGGCTTAAAATAGGGGTGTGGGGGTTCATGGGAGGGATCGGCCCTAAAAGGGGCTGGAGGGCTTCAAAAAGAGGCTTGGGGTGGTAGGGGGCTTGAGGGGGTGGTAGGCACTAAATAGGGGTGGGGGGGTTATGGGGTGATTTACCCTAAAATGGAGTCTGGGGGCTCTAAAATAGGGCTCTGGGGGTCTTTGGGGGGGATTGGCCTTGAAATGGGGGCTGGGGGCTCCAAAAAGAGGGTCTTGGGGACTGGGAGAGCTTGACAGGTGTGGGGAGGGGCTCAAGGGGGTGATGATCCCCCAAAAAATAGGGGCTTGAGGGCGTGGATGGAACAAGGAGATGGTGGAGCCCAAAAAGAGGGGCAGAGGACCTGGGGGACCCTAAAAAAGTGGACGGGCAGGTTGGAGGGGCTTAAGGAGCTGGGGGGGCTCAAGGGTCTGGTTGGGGTTAGAGGAGCCCCCCCAAAATGGGGACTGAGGGGTCCCAGGGACCAGGGGGGTGTTTTGGGGTGTCAGGGACTCCTTGGAGCTTTGGGGGGGTCAGAGTGTGGCCAATTGGGGGTCCAGCCCCCACTGTGACCCCCCCATGACCCCCCTGTGCCCCCCCAGTCCCCGAAGGAGCCGGAGCAGCTCCGGAAGCTTTTCATCGGCGGCCTCAGCTTCGAAACCACAGACGAGAGCCTGAGGAGCCACTTCGAGCAGTGGGGGACCCTGACGGACTGTGTGGTGAGACCCCGACCCCCCTGGGACCCCAAAACCCACCCCAAACCCACCAGGGACCCTGGCCAGCTGCCTGGTGAGACCCCATCCCCCCTGAGCCCCCTGGGACCCCAAACCCACCCTAAACCCACCCCAGATCCCCAAACCCACCAGGGACCCTGATGGACTGTGTGGTGAGACCCTGACCCCCCTGGGACCCCAAAACCCACCCCAAACCCACCAGGGACCCTGGCAGGCTGTGTGGTGAGACCCTGACCTCCCTGGGACCCCAAAACCCCCCCTAAACCCACCAGGGACCCTGACAGCTGTCTGGTGAGACCCTGTCCCCCCTGAGCCCCCTGGGACCCCAAAACCCACCCCCAGATCCCCCAACCCACCAGGGACCTTGACGGACTGTGTGGTGAGACCCTGACCCCCCTGGGACCCCAAACCCCCCCCCTAAACCCACCAGGGACCCTGGCCAGCTGCACGGTGAGACCCCAAAAACCCTGGCTGTCCCCTCCCTGTCCCCTCAGGGGATGCAGAACACGAAGTGCTTGTGGGGTTTTGTCCTGTCCCCTTTCCTGTCCTTGTTCTTGCCCTGTCCCCTCACTGTCCCCTGTCCCGTTCCCGTCCCCTTCCCTCGGTGTCCCCCAGGTGACCCAAACACCTCACAGGGTTTTATCATGTCCCTGTCCCTTGACTATCCCTGTCCTGTCCCTTGTCCTGTGCCCTGAGTGTCCCTGTCCCTGTCCCAGGTGATGAGGGACCCCAACACGAAGCGCTCCCGGGGGTTTGGGTTCGTGACGTACTCGTCGGTGGAGGAGGTCGACGCCGCCATGAACGCGCGGCCGCACAAGGTGGACGGCAGGGTCGTGGAGCCCAAGAGGGCCGTGTCCAGAGAGGTGAGGGGGCTGGGAGGGGGGCTCACACCCCTTGAGGTGGGGGGCTCAAGGAGGGGCTGGGGGGTGAGGGGAGTGTGGGACCCTGAGGTGGAAAGGGGGACGCTGAGAGGTGATGGGTGGAGGGGACCCAGACCCAAATGGGGGGACCTAGAGAGGGGCTGGGGGCTCCAGGGGGGGCTAGATATCAGTGGGGGGACCCAGAGAGGGGCTGGGGGCTCAAGGTAAGGCCCAGACCACAATGGGGGGACCCAGAGAGGGACAGGGGGCTGGGGGCTCCAGAGGGGGCTCAGATACCAATGGAGGAGGCTCAAACCACAATGAGGGGACTCACAGAGTGTACATGGGAGGCTGGGGGTAGAGAGGAGTGTGGGACCCCAATGGAGAGGGACACTGAGAGGTACAGGGGACTGAGGACACCTCCAGCAGGTCCCCAAAATCCTGGTGTTCCCTGGACTCACCAAAATCTCTGTGGCCCTTGGGGACACCTCCAGGGGGTCACTAAAATCCTAAAGTCACCAAAACCCTGGTGATGCCTTCCCTGAGCTCCCCAAAGCTCCAGTGCCTCCCATGATTTCTGGAGTGTCCTTGGCATTTCTCCAATGTCCCCCATTCCCTGATTTTTTCCCCCCTGGCAGGACTCGCAGCGGCCCGGGGCCCACCTGACGGTGAAGAAGATCTTCGTGGGGGGCATCAAGGAGGACACGGAGGAGCATCACCTGCGGGACTACTTCGGGCAGTACGGCAAGATCGAGGTCATCGAGATCATGACCGACCGCGGCAGCGGCAAAAAGCGCGGCTTCGCCTTCGTCACCTTCGACGACCACGACTCGGTCGACAAGATCGTCAGTGAGTCCTCCTGGGGGGAGCCTGGGTGTGGGAACCCCCACCCTGGGGTCTGGGAATCCCACCTGGGGTCTGGGAATCCCACCCTGGGGTCTGGGAACACCTCCCTGGGGTCTGGGAATCCTACCCAGGGGTCTGGGAATCCTACCCTGGGTCTGGGAATCCTACCCTGGGTCTGGGAATCCTACCCTGGGTCTGGGAATCCTACCCAGGGGTCTGGGAATACCACGCAGGGGTCTGGGAACATCTCCCTGGGGGACCCTCGGCTGAGGAGGGGAAAGGGTAGAGACAAGGATGGGATGGGGATGGAGGGGACAAGGAACAGGGGGACAGGGATAGGGATAGGGATGAGATAGAGACAGGGACACAAATGGAAGAGATGGAGTGGATGGCATGGGGATAGACAGGGATGGAGGGAACAGGGGCAGGATCAGGATGTGGGTGGGACAGGAAGGGTAAAGGACAGGAGTAAGGATTAAGGGAGCAGAACTGTCGAGGAGGGGACAGGATGGGGAATGGTGGAGATGGAGAGAACAGGGGACAGAAGCAAGGGTGGGGCAGCCGTGGAGGGGCCAGGGGGACCCTGAGGAGCAGGACAAGGCTGGGGCTGGGGACAGGAGCCAGGGGGGATCCTGAGGAGCAGGACAGGTCCCCGAAGCACCCCCCTGACCCCTGCCCGTGCCGCCGCAGTCCAGAAGTACCACACGGTGAACGGGCACAACTGCGAGGTGCGCAAGGCGCTGTCCAAGCAGGAGATGGCGAGCGCCTCTGCCAGCCAGCGAGGTGAGCCCCCCGCCCGCCCCCAGCCCGGCCCCCCGCCCCCCGCTGTGGCTGCACGCGCTGCCTGTGCTGTGCCTAAAGGCTGTGCCCCCCCGCCGCCCCCTCCGCCCCCTCCCCTCTTAGGCCGCAGCGGCTCCGGCAACTTCGGCGGCGGCCGCGGAGGAGGATTCGGCGGCAACGACAACTTCAACCGCGGCGGCAACTTCGGCGGCCGTGGTGAGTGAGGGCTGGGAACCATTGGGAACCACCAGGGCACACTGGGAGCCACCAGGGCACATTGGGAGCCACTGGGAGACACCAGGGCACATTGGGAGCCATTGGGAGCCACCAGGGCACACTGGGAACCACTGGGAACCACCAGGGCACACTGGGAGCCACCAGGACACACTGGGAGCCACCAGGGCACACTGAGTCCTACAGGGACCTATAAGGACCCCGTTAGGACTTGGGACCCCCTGGGACCTGTTGGGATCCGCCAGGACCCGCCACGACTCACCAGGAGCTGTTGGGCTCTGTGGGGACCTACTGGGACACACTGGGGCCTACTGGGACTTACTGGGATCTATCAGAACCCACTGGGACCTACAGGGACTTACTGAGACCCACTGGGACCCATGGGGATGTATTGGGACTCATGGGGACCTACTGGGACCCACTAGGACTTACCAGGACGCACTGGGACCCATTAGG